TTCAGGCTGCTGGTAGACTCAGGCTCTCTCTACACTTAAAAGTTTGTAAACCACTTCCACCAGTAAAGCAGCAAATACTATGGGACCGCATGGGCTCCCAACCCTGTAGCCTGGTCATACTAGGGATGTTAACAAACAAGTAATTTACTAGTTGAGTCGTCTAGTCTAGTTGAGTCCTGCTAGGGCCAGCCCGGGGCCAGTGGGAAGGCCCGCGGACTCCGCCATGAGGGTGTCACGAGGGTGCTTTCAAAGTGGAAGCAGTCACGCAGAGCCCGGAGTCAGTGGGACTTCCTGCTGGCCCCGGGCTGCATGTGGATGCCAGCTTTGAAATGTACAAGAGACCCCAGCTAATCCTGGGCTCCGCTTGGCATTTCAAAGTGGCAGTGCTGCACAGAACCCGGGATCAGCTGGGGAGTCGATTAGTCAACTAGCCCTTAACATCCTTAGTTCACACTAGCACTTTACAGCACTCTAACTTACTGAGCTTGGTGGGAGGTGTTTTTTCACACCCTTGAGCAAGCAAGTTACAGCACTGTAAAGTGCCAGTGTAGACTTAGCCTCAGGAGCACTGCCCACTCAGTTTACCCTCAGGTTATGTTTTCACATTTATCTTCAGATCCATTAAGTCAAGATTTTTTAAAAACTCAATTCTGCAACAAACTTCTGCAATCATTTTCATGAAATACACACTCCTGCTCACCATCTAATTTGACTTGGGCCAAGAGTATTACTGCTTCCCTCAGGACTCTATTCTATTTTCTAATCCTATATGGGGGGGGGGAATAAAATCTCCAATTTCTATGATTCTGCTGGTGGAACCCTCCATTTCTGACAACATAAGAGTTGAGCTGTTACCAAATAATGGGACAGAGACAATTTTCAGAAATAACATTTTTGTCAATGTTATAATCGGTTTACAGCTCATAATGAAATACTGTTAGAAATGTTCTATATTCATACATTTCTAGAAAAATACAATTTTAAAAAACATAAGGCACCTTTTAGACTTTGTAAAGCAACACTATGCTCATGTCATGATAAAATTCCACAAGAGGGCTAAATGAAACCCTCGTAATCCTTTTGTGTTCAGTACAAAATCACCAATGCTCTCGTCAGAAAAAACCCCCAAAAACAAAGCAATCAGAGAGGTTTCCAAGATGGAGTTATTCCTGTATTAGAGTGCACCCTGAAGAAAATAGAAATCTATTTGAAGTATCATGGAACTGTTCGAGCAGAAGAGAAAAAAAAACAACATCTCCCTGGTGTGAATAAGATGCATTAAAAACAGTTCTTAGAACTGGGTAACAAAGATCCATTGTGGGGATTAAGTTTCATTACTCTCAAAGGATTAAATCCCTTCCATTCATTATTGCCAACAGGAGTAAGGAACAAAAAGAGGCCAATTCCTCCCCATACAATTCAATCAAAGATTTTAAAAGCAGACAGTGAGCAGGACAGAAGTCCATGAGAAATTGCCTTTGGCCACTGCAGAACTCATTCAGATATTCGTTCTGACTTCTGAAAGTCTATCCTCTTACTGAGTAGAGACAAACATAAAAGAATTGGCAACTGTTTAAATTGCTTCCCATCAAGTAGATATTTTTGCTTTTTTTAAAACACGACCCCACTGTGCACATCCCACCTGCTTCTGAAACTCACCATCAGCTCTTGTTGTCAAAGAGATGGCAGGAGGGGGAAGAGTGCAGGACTCCAGACACAGCAGGAAAGGCAGAATGATGATCTAGCTTTACACACTTGTTTCTCAACTTCAGCATTTCTAACTTTGGAAAATACGTAACAGATGCAGGGAAGAGACTCCAAAACACCGAATGAAGATTCTTCTAGTGGAGTACAGAGGCCATGGAGACGGATGCCTCATCATCTCCGTATTTTAAAAATATTCACCAAACGTACAGCATAAACCAGGGGTGAGCAATAATTGTGATGGGGGGGAAGGGACAGTTCAAGAATGTGATAAGTGGCCAAGGGCTGCACTCTTCCAAAGTATTAATGGAGAAGGTGAGAAGGGACAGTTCAAGAATGTGGTAAGTGGCCAAGGGCTGCACTCTTCCAAAGTATTAATGGAGAAGGTGAGGGGTCTGGGTGCAGAAGGGAGCTCTGGGTAGGGGACTGAAGACACAGTCTGGGTGGAGTTACGGGTGCAGAAGAGGATTCTGACCTGAAGGGTGTAGGACACAGGAGGGGGTTGTGACCTGGGGTAGAGAGTTTGGGGTGCAGAGCCTGGGAGGGGATATGGGTACAGCAGGGAGCAGG